TTGAAGGAAAATTAATCTAAACTTATAGATTTTAATAAAAAAATATACATATATGAATGACATCATCATATTCCTCTTCAGTTTGTGGCGCTTCTTCAAGCACAGTCTCCCAAATGCTGGCATTATAGGAAAGGGAGGGCCAGGGATCTAGCTCAGCGGCATAAGCGCCTGCTTGGCAAGCAGAAGGTCCTGAGTTCAGTCCCTGGTACCGCAAAAGCAAACAAACAAAAAAACACAAAAAACCAACATTACCCCCCCAATTATAGGAAAGGACCTCACTTAGTTTTTCTAAGACAGTTTTACTATGTACTTCACACTAGCCTCCAACTCACAATGAGTTTATAATTTTTTTTTTTTTAATTTCAGGAAAGGGTCTACAGGGTGTTCAGGGTTTCATTACTAGATCAGACTCCTCAGGGTTTCTTTTTTGTTTTCTTTTTTAAATTTTATTTATTTATTTATGTGTGTGTGGCCAGCTCAGCCAACCAGGGGGTGGGGCTGGCTGGCATGTGGTGCTGGGGGATTGAACCGCGGTCCCTGTGCTTTGCTAAGCTTGATTCTAAGTAGGTGCCTTAGACCACCGAGCCATCTCACCAGCCCTCCTCAGGGTTTCATTACCAGATTGGACTCCACAGTGATCTGCCTGTTTACAGCCTCTCAAAAGCTGGGATTACAGGCACATGCCACTACACCCAGTCTCAACTGCCACTTTAATCCACTGAGGTATCTGGCCGGCCTTAACGAGTTTATAAATTTAAAAAGAAAACAATTTCAATACGAGAAACAGAATAACAACAGTTAATATATTGTGTATTGTTATCTTTAGTTTCTCAGAGCACCAGTTATAGGCATTTAACTGTCCAAACAATATTAGCACAAACCTTTTTTTAATGAATTAAGAGAAATTAGTTAAACTATCATAACTAACTATGTGTGCTGTTTGATGCAATGTTAAGCCTACCCGCAATTTCAGGGTGTGGGAGGCTAAGGACGGAGGATCTTGAGTACAAGGCCAGCCAGTACTCTGAGAATCTCAAAATAAAAACAAAAAACTCTTAACAACAAGGAATTGGGGCCGGGAGATGCCTCAGTAGAATAAGTGCTTCCTGGCCAAATGCAAGGGCCTGAGTTTAATCCCCAGTTCCGTCAAAGAGAACACACACACACACACACACACACACACACGAACACAAACCCACACACACACACACACACACACACACACACACACACACGAACACAAACCCACACCCACCCACACCAAGGAATCCACAAAACAAACCCTGCCATGATGGCAGGATTTGGGAGGACAAAGCAGGATCACAGTGAGTTTGAGGCCAGCCTGAAGTATACAGTAAAACTGCTTTAGAAAACTATAATCCCATTCCTATAAAACCAGCATTTGAGAGGCTGTGCTTCTTGAAGGACTGCCACAAACTATAATGGTGTCACAAATAGAAACAAAAAACAAAACTACCCTCAAAACACAATTACGGGAAAAAAACCCAAAAACACCACACACAATTATGATAAATAAACTCAGTGTTTGCTAGGATGCGGAGAAGTGTGACTGTGAATCATTTTTGAAGGGCAATTTAGTGTATCAACATTATTTTTTTGTGTGTGAGGCTGGCTCAGCCCGCCCTGGGCTATGTGGCTGGCACAACATGTGGTGCCAGGGATTGAATCACAGTTGCTGTACTTGCCTATGTGGGCACTTTAGACTGCTAAGCTATCTCGCCAGCTTCTCAACTTTATTTTAAAATGTCTTGGATAGGGGCCGGGGAAATGGCTCAGTGGAATAAGCGCTTCCCTGGCAAGCGCAAGGGCCTGAGCTCAATCCCCGGTTCCGAAGGAAAAAAAAATGGCCTTGGAGAGGTTGGGGAGATAGCTGAGCAGACCAAGTGCCTGCTTAGGCAAGCACAGAGACTAAGGTTCAATCCCTGGCACCACATGCTGCACTAAACCATCCACCAAAACTGGGTGCAGTGGTGCACACTTGTAATCCCAGCGCTGGGGAGACTGAGACAGGAGAATCACTATGAGTCCAAGCTATACAGTGATACCCTGTACCAAATAAATAAAAATAATAAACAAAATTGGGGCTGGGGAGATGGTTCAGTGGAATAAGCGCTTGCCTGGCAAGCGCAAGGGCCTGAGTTCAATCCCCGGTTCCACCAAAAAAAACAGAAAAACAAAATGGTCCTGGCTGGGTACTACTCACTTAGCTGTGTGTCCAAGAGACAGTAGGTCAGAAAAAGTAAATTATGAACACATTTGCATATTTTGTGTACTAAGAAAAAAATGCTCATATACAGTAAGTACTCAACACAACACACCTGTTGAGTGATCCCATTCACAGGGTGAACCTTTTATAGAAAAATGTGTCCACTTCACAGTGATCCATATGGTATAGTTTTATAGAGGGAAGGGTCTTTGGCACTGATATATAAAATTTATTACATTACTACCAGAATATATTTACACACACACACACACACACACACACACACACACACACACACCCTACTTAAAAATTTTCACCTAACAACAGAAATGGTTTAGTCTGAATGAACTACCCAAAACCATAGCTAGTCTCTAGGGCCAATTTTCTGACTCTGTTCTTTCTTCCCATCACAGAGGACTACTTAAAGGAATGAATTTCCAAAACTCCTACACAGATGGGGAATTGAACCGTGTTTGCTGATCTGTATCCTAAGAACTTATATTGCATCCAGTATCACACTAGATTAAGTATGGAAAGATCAACTGAAACCAAATAATGATTTTTCTACCTTTTAACAATTTGAGGGGCTGGTGAGATGGCTCAGTGGTCTAAAGCACCTATTTAGAACAAGCTTAGCAAAGCACAGGGACCGCGGTTCAAATCCCCAGCACCACATGCCAGCCAGCCCCGCCCCCTGGTGGGCTGAGCTGGCCACACAGTCACACACAAATAAATAAATAAAAAAATTTAAAAAAAAAATAAAAAAAAAAAAACAATTTGAATTGGAGGGCAATAATAAAGGATTTAAGGTATCTTCTAAAAGTACAGTGTAATGGCTCAATGAAATTTAATTTTTATATACACAGTAAGTGCCATGATCAAGTTGTTTCCACCTCTCTTAAGTCTGGAAAGGGTAATTTAAGCCAGTATCTCTCTCGTTCTCTCTCTTTTTCCCTGTGGTACCGGTGATTGAACTTAGGACCCTGTGCTTGCCAGGTAAGCATTTATTCTACTGAGTAGTATCTCCCTGGCCCTAAGCCAGTATTTCTTTTGGTTTTTTTTTTGGTGGAACTGGGAATTGAACTCAGGCTCTTGCGCTTGCCAGGGAAGTGCTTATTCCACTGAGCCATCTCCCTGGTCCCCCTAAGCCAGTACTTCTGAACTCTTAAAAACTGTTGCTCCTTGGGCTGGGAAGACATCTCAGTGGCATAAGTGCCTGTTTGGCAAGCACAAGGTCCCGAGTTTGATCCCTAGTATATCCCCACCCCCCAAATGTTACCCCTCTAGCCAGGCATGGTGGCACATTCCTGTAATCCTAGCATGCAGGAGGTACAGGAGGCTGAGACAGGAGGATTACAGTGGTTTTGGGTCTAGCCAGAGCTACATACTAAGACCCTCACTCAAAAAGAAAAAAAGGGGCCAGGGATATACCTCAGCAGCATAAGCGCCATCCTGGCAAGCACAAGGTACTGAATTTGATCTTCAGTTCACACACACAACAAGGTTACCCCCTAAAACATTCAAAGCCTTTTCCTCTATCCCCCTTCCAAACAAACTATAATATCATAAATGTCTTATGAACCCTGTATATAGTAAAGTTTATATCCATGTCCAATTTCATCTTTCTTAGAGGCACTAACTCTTGACGAGAACACATAGCAATAATGTATGAGAGATTTTTGCTTCAGTTGTAGAAATCTCTTTATTATCAGCTTAGCAGTATATATAGCAAATGTACAGAACCAAGTACATGTTAATTATTTCTCCTATAGTACGAACTCAAGCTTTCCCAAGTGTTTTATCTATTTTTTTTTAATTTTCCATTTATTTATTGGATAAAGGGTCTTATTACACAGTGCAGACTTGTAGTGATCCTCCTGTTTCAGCCTACCCAGCGCTGCGATTACAGGTGTGCACCACCCCACCCAGTTGTGGGAGCTTGCAAGACATACGGTATAGGGGACTGAACTCAGGTCCCTGCACTTGCCAGGCAGGCGCTTAGACTGCCGAGTTATCTCCCCAGCCCCCAAGCCCTAAGACTTGCCTTATCAAACTGGTTTCCTTTTACAATAACTCAAGATATGGAAGATATCACTCTACATCAAAAATTCTTTCACCTGGGCCAGGGAGATCGCTCAGCAGACTAAGTGCTTGCTTAGGAAAGCACAAAGACCAGGGTTTGATCCTTGGCACCAAACGCTACCTTGGTTCCTGGGTGGGAGTGGGATTAGGGGGGTACTGCTACCCAGAATAGGCATGGTGGTGCATCCCTGTAATCACAGAACTGGGGCAGCTAAAACTAGGAGGATCACTGAGTCTGAGCTGCATCATGATATATATGTATCATATATATAAAATCTTTCATCTTTAAAATGCCTACCTCCTTTCTCACTGTCGTAGTGTGACGCATCAAACTGGGCATCATCATTAGGGAGCTGTACGCTGGCTATCACGAGGTGGTTTTGTTCATCTGATGTATGCGTCCCCAGGACAAGTCGATGAATGCTGAAATCCTTCCCTTCTGGTCTGCAATAGCAACAAATGGTCACTATTCAAATTAGTAAAACCAAGAGACCACATTAGCACCATAATAATCAGACTTTGAGAAAACAAAGTTATTAAGAGACCTATTTTCTACTACTATTTTTTTTTTTTGCAGAACCGGGGCCCTTGCGCTTGCCAGATAGGCGCTTATTCTACTGAGCCATCTTCCTGGCCCTCTATTTTCTACTTCTAAGGGACAACTACTATACAGAAAAAAACACAGAGTACCTATTTTTAAACTTGATCAAGAACGTAGACTTCTAAGTCCAGTGTGGTGGCACATGCCTGTCATCTCAGCTACATGGGAGGTCAAGGCAGAAGAATCACAATTATGAGGCAAGTCTGGCCAACTCAGCAAGACCTTACCTCAAAAAATAAAAAGCTGGGATTCATGGCACACACTTATAAACTTAGCACTCTGGGAGGCTGAGACAGGAGGAATGTTTTGTTGAATCGCTACCTGGGTAACTTAAGAGACTGTCTCAAAGTAAAAGGCTGAGACGTAGCACAGGATGAAGGCCTTGGGTTTAATCCCAGTACAGGAAGGTAGAAGTAGCGGAGTTCGATTGGGTGGTAGCATAGTGGTAGAGTGCTTGCCTGGCACAAATGACCTTCTGAGTACAATCTCTAATATCACTACCATAAAAACAAAACAACTTTGAAGAATATGTTTAATGGAATAAAAGGTAGATTAGCTGTACACTCTTTACAAAGGGTTAAAAGGAAGACAACTGGGGCCGGAGAGATGGCTCAGTAGAATAAGCACTTCCCTGTCAAGTGCAAGGGCCTGAGTTCAATCCCTGGTTCCGCAAAATAAACAAACAAATAAATGTAACCATTATCCTTTTTTTTTTTTTTTAAAGACAACTGCTAGATATAGTAATATTTTTGTCTATTAGAACCTTTGTTAAGAGTCGGGGTGGGAGGGGCTGTAGGTAGGTGTAGTTCAGTGGTAGAGCATATGCCAGGCCCTGGGTTTAATCCCTAATACCTAGCTCTGTCAAGGGAAAGAACATCAGGTATGCTAAATGTTCAGTCATATGTGTCACTAATCAACAGACAACTGCTCCAAGTGCTGTCAAAGCACAAAGATGATTAAAACATGATTCCTGACCTTACAGTCATGAGTCATTAGTCACATTCAAAAATGTTAGGGGGGGAAAAAAAGATTACTTCTGACATTCAGAAAATAATGAAGGGGTGAGACCTAAGCAAGTCTCAAAAGTGGTAAGACACCTGTTAAAACACTAATAACTATGGGTGTGGTGCGACACACCTGTGGTCTCAGGACTCCAGAGGCTGAAACATGACACTCACCACGAGTTTAAGGGCAGTCTGGGTTACACGATGAAAAAAAAATTTAATAAATAAAAATAAAAACAAATCAAAAAGAACCCCATGAAACCCAATTATGGGCATGGTGGTATACACATGCAATCCCAGAACTTTGGCAGGTCAAGGCATGAGGATCACAAATTTGAACCCACTTGGGCAACTTGGCAAGACCCTATCTCACCCCCCCCAAAAAAAAACCCCACAAAAATACCTTAAAGGCAATACCACCACAACGCTATGGTCAGGCATGGTGACACACTTCAGTAATCACAGCACTACAGAAGCTGAGGCAGTAGGAGCCAGCCTGGGCTATAAAACATGACCCTGTCTCAAAAAATAAACAACCCCCCCTCCCCCCGCCACCAGTATGAAGCATCCAAATTGAAAATGAAAATACTTAAAGTTTAAGGAAAACAAGAAAGCTCTCTAAGACCCTATAACTACTAAATATCAGAATTGGACTTAAAGTCCTAAAATGACTGAATATAGGAAAGCACAGTGGGAAAAAAGCATAGAAAACACATTGAAATCTGACTCTTTAAGTATTTTTTTCTTTTTCTTCCGAGACAGGGCCTGGCTATATAGTTCAGGCTGGCCTTGAACTCACTAGTAGTTCAGGTTGGTCTCAAATTCACTGTGATCCTCCTGCATCACAGGTGTGAGCCACCACATTCGGTGAATATTAATTTGAAAGCCTGGAACTAGATGGGAAAGCAGCATCACAAATAGGGTTCTTTAGGGCTTATAAACTAACCACTCACAGAAGAAAACCTAGGAAATGTCAAAAAGTCGTATCGTAAAAACAAATAGGGATAATGGGACAGTTGGGGCTGGACCTTGAGGTAAGGAACGTGAAGTTAGAGAAGCCAGTGCAATACTCCACAGAAGATACAATTAGGAGCCAAAACTGCAGGAAGATCTCAGCAACTGGGTCTATAGATACCACTACTGATTCCTCTGTACTAGTATAATACAGAAAGATGTGAGAATGTTGCGGATAGAGCTCAGTGGCACAAATGCCTTCCTGGCAAGTACAAGGTCCTGAATTTGATTCCTGGTACCAAAATGAAAAAGAAAAGACATGAAAGCATCTAGGCTGCATAGAGAAAGGGCAGAAAAGAATAGAGGACTACGATGAGCAAACAATTGGAAATACTGGTATTCAGGTTAGAGAAGAACCATTGAAAAGAGAGTAGTTACAGAACTAGTTATGTTTATAAAAAGGTGGTGGTGTGGAATAAATGAGCACCAGAAAATGACACAAAAGACTACATATTTTCCCTTATGGCTGCTTGCTTTTAAGCATATAATTTTCATCTTAAAACAAACAAGAGGGGCTGGTGAGATGGCGCAGTGGTCTAAAGCACCTACTTAGAACAAGCTTAGCAAAGCACAGGGACAGCGGTTCAATCCCCCAGCACCACATGCCAGCCAGCCCCGCCCGCTGGTGGGCTGAGCTGGCCACACACACACACACACACACACACACAAATAAATAAATATTTAAAAAAAAAAAAACAAGAACAGAAAAACTACATTTACCTTTATTTGCTAAACAGACAGCCAAAGGCATGTTTCGGCTGTGAGGAATTTAGTGTAACATGTTATTTTCCAAACCTAGTAAACCATTACATTTTCTGAGAAGTCTTAAAAAGCTATTTTTCTCAGCAAATACTAACAAACTCTTCAGTGGTTTGAATTGAGATAAGGACAAATGAGCAGAGCGTGGTCCTGCACACTTGTGACTTCATTACCCTGAGAAGCTGGACCTGGGGGATTACAGGTTCCAGCTCAGTCTGGGCAATTTAGAAATATCCTGTCTCAAAATAAAAACAAAATTTAAAAAATGAGATACAGGGAAAACAAATAGGTAAAGAAGAAAAAAAAACCCGTAATTAAAAAAAAAATGAAAGCTGCAGGTTTAGTACACAAGTCCAGATTAAAACAACTTTTTCCCTTTCTTTTCCTCCAGAACACAATAAGCCTGGGCAATACCTTTCACTTATAAAATTTGCTTGCTCACTCTCATGCTCGCTCGCTCTCTCTCTCTCTCTCTCTCTCTCTCTCTCTCTGAACAGAATTTACAAGGTCTCACTACATAGATCAAACTTGTAGTGATCCTTCCTATTTTTTCAACCTGGCTCTGAGATTACAGGCATGTGGCACCACACTCCATCACCCAGTCTCATTCTGTATCTGCCTAAACAGGCACTTTAACCTGATGAGCTATCTGGCCGGCCCTTCTTTCTTCTTTTTTTTATTTGTATTTTAGAGAATGGGCTACAGGGTGTTTAGGGTCTCACTACTAGATCAGAATCATAGTGATCCACCTGTTTACAGCCTCCCAAGAGCTGGGATTACAGGCGTGTAGCACCATGCCCAGTCTCAACTGTGGTCTCAGCACACCCTGGGGACAGGGCCCATAAGGCAGGCCTAGAGACAGAACCACCGGCTCTTGCTTGCAGGTGCTTTTTCTGCTGAGCTACTTGGCTGCCCGTCCCCTTTTGAGACAGAGCCCTGCTATGTAGCTCAGGCTGACCTTGAACTCACAGCAATTCTCCTACCTCAGCCTTTGAGTGTTGGGATTACAGGTGCTACCCTGCCCAGCAAAATGGTTTTTTTTCCTATGAAGACCATTATCTTTCTATGGGTGGGACATTTCCTCCTATTCCCCAAACCAAGACCATGACTATAGATTGCCAAAATTCAGATTCCAATCACCAAAAACACAAAGCTCCAAACCACTGCACACCTCCCCCTTGGACCTGTATTCTATTACTTTCAGTGTGGACTTCTTACATGTCTGCCTAATAAACCCTTCCTGTGCCTCTTAAAAATAAAGAGTGGGCAGGTTGAGGAGGTAGTGCAGTAGCATAGGCAAGGTCCTGAGTTTGATCCCTGGTACCAAAAAAAGGTAGGCAATTAGTTATGTAGCTCAGCCCAAAGGCCCTGGGTTCAATCTCAATATGCAAGAGTGGGTGGATGACTCCTTTTATCTTTTAACTCCCTAATTTCAGATTGATCCCTATTTCAGATTGGTGATCAGCTGAATGTGAAAATTAGGTCATGATTTAGAAACTTCCAACCTAAACTTCTAGGTGTTTGCTACAGTTTTGTATAACATTTAAGTTAGACCCATTTGAAAAATTCAGGTCATCTTATTACTTCTTGAACTGAACCACAATAATATCTTAACTTTGGGTTTTGAAAGTATTTAGCTATTCAGTATACAAAAAGACTTTGGTTTTTCTTTAAATGTTACAACATAATTTTTTTTTTTGGGGGGAGGGACCTAGCTCAGGCTGCCTCAACAGAGGGTCTGGTAAGTCATGTGGAGCTGGGGATTGAGCTAGGGTCCCCTGTGCCTGACTGAGTTTGCCCCAGCAGGAACTTAAACAACTGAGCTAACCAGTAAGACACCTCCCCCACCCCCCGCCCCCGGCTTTTTTTTTTTTTTTTTTTTTGTAGAACTGAGGATTGAACTCAGGCCCTTGTACTTGCCAGGAAAGCACATATTCTATTGAGTTATCTCCCCCTCCAGGCTGCCTTCTGAGATAGGATCTTGCTGTGCTGTTCAGGCTAGCCTTGAGCTCACTTTGTAGCCCAGGCTTATCTTAAACAATCCTCCTGGGGGCTTTGCTGGATAGCTCAGTTGTTTAAAGCACTGCTTGAGTAAATGCAGGCAGGCGCATTAGACCGTGGTTCAATTTCCAGCTCCAGAAGCTGTACCAGAACTGCCCATAAGGGGCCAGGGAGATAGCTCAGTAGAATAAGCACTTGCCTGGCAAGCACAAGGTCCTGAGTTCAATCCCTGGTACTACAAAAACAACAACAAAAAACCAGGCCTGGCAAGCACAAGGTCCTGAGTTCAATCCCTGGTACTACAAAAACAACAACAAAAAACCAGAACTGCCCTTAAGGCAGCCTGAAGTAGCAAAAACAAAACAAAAAACAAAACAAAAAAAAAAAACAAACCCAAAAAAGCCCCCAACAACAACCCAACAAAACCTCCTTCTTAAAAAACAGTCCTCCCGGCACCAGCCACGCTAGAGTGCTAGGATTACAGGTATGAGCCACTACACCCAGCTTATAGTTTTTGAATGTTATTCTGATTTTATTTTTTGAGACAAGGTCTCACTATGTAGCCCAGGGTGTCCTGGAACTTAGTGATGATCCTCAGCCTTCGAGATAACCGGGATGCAGCACCACAACCAGTTTGTATGTCAGTCTGAATGTGAAACAATTCATCCAACAGGCACGGTGATTTCTGCTAAAACCCTGTATTAGTATCTATCCTCTAACCAGATATGGTGATGTACACCAACACTATGTTGGACTGAGGCAGGAGACTACAAATAAAAGCAGAAACAGAAAACTCTTAACTAAAAACTACACTTTTAAGAAGACGGGGACAACCTGCTCCAGCCCTCCTTCTGTCCCTCTCTCAGACAAAAGCTCCCCCCTCCAAATATATTCTGCTCTTAGAAAAAAAAAAAAAAAAAAGACTGCAACTTTCAGATGCAAAAGTCATCTATATCAGCATTCCCAGTCACTAAATTTACACACTTTTCCTTCCAGACCATTTATACCCAAAATTTCTTAGCAGTACCCCAAGTTCATAAATTGGCTTAACTGAGAAAGTAAATAGAAATCAATCCTAAAATAAAAGAATAGGTTCACAGTTTGGGAGAATCCAAAGAATGTTTAAATTGCCTATCCAGTGCCAGTCATGGTGGCACATATCTGTAATCTGAGCACTCGGAATGCTGAGGCAGGAGGATCCTTGCATAATTAGAGGCCAACCTGGGATACAAAGTGAGGTCAAGGCCAGCCTGAATTGCACTGTGAGACCCTGTCTCAAACAAGAAAGAAAAAATTTGTCTATCTAAAATAAAAACTAGGTCTGGGGCTGGTGAGATGGCTCAGTGGTCTAAAGCACCTACTTAGAACAAACTAAAAGCACAGGGACCCCGGTTCAATCCCCCAGCACCACATGCCAGCCAGCCCCGCCCCCTGGTGGGCTGAGCTGCCCCCCCCACCACACACACACACACACACACACAAATAAATAAAATTTAAAAAAATAAAATAAAAACTAGGTCTAAACTTATAGAATGAGCTAGTACCCTTCTAGGGGGCAAGCCACCTTTCTTCTGGCTTCTAGCTTCTAAATAGAAGCATCAATGTTCCCTGTTCCAAAAAATATATTTTTCTCTTCAGGTCCTGCCCATACTCTATTCTTAAGAGAGCCTGATAGGATTAGGCAAAGTAGGAGAGGTAGGATTCAGGAATTCAGTTTTATTTATTTGTGGAGCCAGGGAATGAACTCAGGCCCTTGAGCTTGCCAGGCAAGCACTTGTTCTACTGAGCTAACTCCCTGGCCCCCCACACTCTATTCCTTTGAGTGGTTTTTTTTTTTTTTTTTTTTTTGCGGAACTGGGGATTGAACTCAGATCCTTGCGTTTGCCAGTCAAGCGCTTATCCTACTGAGCCATCTCCCTGGCCCCATTCCTTTGAGTTTATACCTTGCCATGTTTCTTACTGACTAGTCTTAAAAACTCTTTTTCTTTTATTTTTTTCTTCATTTAAATAAGAAAAAAAAAAGATAAAATAGCGATGAAACAGTTTTAAAGCAAGTTAGGACAGACACAATAATCAATACATTGCATATTGTTGTCTTCATAGTCGTTATTCAAAGGACTGAAAATTGTTTTTCTGTGATGGTAGCCAGCAAATCTATTCTCTGGGTATGGTGAATCTGCTTCCTTATTTCAGCTTTAGGAACCTCCTATAGAAAGACAGGAAGATCACCAAGTTTGAGCCTAGCCTAGCAACTCAACAAGACCACATCTCAGGGGTCAGGGAGATAGCTCAGTAGCATAAGCACTTGCCTGGCAAGCACAAGGTTCTGAGTTCAATCCCTGGTACTGCCAAAAAACAACAACAACACAAAACAAAACCTCAACCACAACCATCATCATCACAACAAAACAGAAAGTGTCTACATTCACTTTTATCCTTCCATTGTCACTTCTGGAAGTTAATTCTGACATCCCACATGAAGGAACACCTTTCTTGCTTTATTTTTTGTGTCTGCTAGAGCAATTATAATTAATTTGTACATACTAATATATGGAACCTAATAGTGCCTCAATTAAAGCTCAATAAGATGATATGCTGCCTCCTCAGGGGTAAGCTATCTACAAGGAGTATGTGTGCTCATATCCACCTTCCTTACATGAGAACTATGTAATGACACCTTCAGGTTTTTCCCCCAATCTCTATTGGGGACAGAACCTAGGGGTTTGCTAGACAAGCACTCTACCACTGAGCCACATTCTCCATCCTTTTAATCTTGAACCAGTGTTTAAGTTGTCCACCTTGGAACCTTTTGCCTTAGCCTCCATATGCAAGGTGCTCAGGTGTCTCTTTGTTTGGTACCACGGATGGTACCCAGGACTGTATCTCTAGGACCTTTGTGGTGCTTTCTAAGTATCCCAATTACCTGTAAAATTACGCTCATCACACATAATTATAATTACTAGTTGCTATCTGCCTCTTCAACTGGACAATGTGCTCCTTGAAAGCAGGTCCCATATTTATCTTTGTATTAACCAGCTACTGCAACGGACTGTGAGAATTCAAATGTGTTTTGTTGAATGAAAGGGATTCCAAATATTTTTTTGAAGGCTGACATTCTTCATATTATTCGGTTAACTATAGTTAAAATGTGGCTATTCAACTCAGTTATCAGAGAAAAAACAAAACATCAACACTAACTCTTGCCAGGAAAACCGCAAAAATTTTACATTCTGAGTTTCTTTTTTGGTCTAGAGAAAAAAAAAAAGTCACTAAAAGGCTTTGATCCGTGCCATCTCCGACGACTGAGAAATGTACACCAAAGAGATAGCAAAGTAACATTCAAGAGATTCGTGTCACCTGGTTACATCTGGAAGCCACTGTGCTGTTAGGCTGGGCCACTCCAGAGCATGGGTCATCACCAAGTCATAAAGAAACGGTGTATTCTTTTTCCATATCTTGTACTCCTCGTTGATCACACGTTCTTCCACTGCATCGTCAAAGGCTGCTAAAATGTGTTTAAACAAATCAAGTTAGCGAACAGAAAAGGAGCCGAGTACATCTCTCTAAAGCCATTCGCGTGGCGCCTTCGCTCTAATTCTGAGAGGAGAAATTTTATCTCATCCCCTGCCCCCCAGGCCCAGCACTAACACTGCTGTCCACCTTCGCGGGCCACAAGTCCGTTAACTATTGGGACGACGGGACGGGCCTTCGACGCGCGCTCCCGTACGCAAAGTCCACAGCACCGGCGAGGAGCCGCGCTCCGGGCCTGAGGAGAGGGCTGCGCGGGCCGACCAGGGGGAGACAAGGGAATGCATGCCCGTCGGGACCCCGCCGCCGACTTCGCTCAGAGGCAACGCGCATCCGTTGGCCCGCCTCGCCGGGAGCTCCCTCCTCACGCCTGCCGAGTTAGGGCTGCGCCGGGCCTGCCTCCCTCTACTAGGCCGTGTACAGGCCGCGACGCAGTACCAGCACCTCCTGCCCTCCTGGGACGCCCTCCGGCACACTCACCTTCCTTGTCAGCCATGGTGGCAGGAAAGCCTGAGGACCCTACGGCCGAACGATGCGGGAGGGGCCGAGAGGCAGCGGGCGCTCGCTCAGCGCGCGCGGCCTCTATTGTTTCCTGCGGCCCCTGCGTGAGGGCGGGCTAGCGCGCCTTCGCGCCAACATCGACCAACCAGAGCTCACCAAACGGCGGAATGGGCGGGGAAACTACATTCTCGGCCAATCCTGGTACGTAGAGTTGCTTCCCGCGGGGCCTAGACGCGCGCTCCGCTACCCCTCCTGTAGCTGATTTCCAGTTTGCGCGCGCGCCCGGGCGGATGGGACTGTGCCCAAACCGATCACGTGAGTGGTTTAGGCCGCACACTCCCGGGGGCAGCCATTTTCTTAAGGGCTGTTACTTTACGCTAACGGCTTTCTCCGAGCACAGTACTGAGATGAAAAAATCTACAGTGTTTCTGAGTCTAGTATTAACTCTGGGGACTAGACGAAAAGAAAAAGCCTTGCCACTTAGACCCAGAAGTATGTTAACCAACGTGTCCTTCAATTTTTCTGTCCTTTGAAAAACACTACTTATAAACAAGCACGGAAGATGAGATCTTAACCTTCAAATATACGATCCAAGCAACACAATGCAGATGGAATTGTTAGGGGCTGACAAGCTCTAGTGAGCGCCAAGAATCCAGTCCTAGCCCTTTAAGAACGCGCGGAAGGGGCGGGGTCCATACCGGAAGTTGTAACGCTAGACCGAAGTCCGGTAGGTAAAGGGCGGAAATAGCGCGTACGGTTCAACAATTATGGCGCAGGAAGAAGATGTTAGAGATTACAATTTAACTGAGGAGCAAAAAGCAATCAAGGCCAAGTATCCTCCAGTTATTCGGAAGTACGAATGTAAGTAGATAGCTCAGTTCTTTCTTCAGATATGGGCGTGCCTGGCTCCTTACCCGCTGCTTCCAACTTTGCCCCACAGGTGTTTCAGGCGTCATCCATGTGTGCCCTGTGTGTGCCCTACATTAGATTGCTTTGTATTTCTCCCAGGACATGATGAAGGACAAAGCTATCTGGCTTAAGAGTCCAGAGATGTGGGCTTCTAACATTTGCAGTCTCTTTAACTTTTTCCACATGTGCCTAATCACATTTTTTTCTTTGTGAATTTAATTAGCGCACTAATTGTAAAGATCACTGTATTTGCGCTTGCCTGGCAAGCACAAGGGCCTGAGTTCAATCCCCGGTTCTGCAAAAAAAAAAAAAAAAAAAAAAAAATCACTGTATTTGATTGTGTGTGTGGGGGGGGTGGCCGGCTCAGCCCACGTTGGGGGCGTGGCTGGTGTGGGGAATCGAACTGTGCTCCCTCAGCTTGCCTAAGTTTGCCTAAGCAGGTGCTTTAAACCGCTGAGCTATCTCAGTGGTCCTGTATTTTTCTTTTTACCCAGTACTAAGGATACAACCCAGAGCCTTCACACTGAACTACCCCCCACGCCCGCCACTGTTTCAATTTTTATTTCAAGATGTTTCACAAAGGCCCTAAATAAGCCAGGCTGGGTGATCTTTGTTTCCTCAGTTTTCCGCAGGATCACAGATATGTGTCAGCACCACTGGCTGAGAGGTGTATTTTTTTTTGTGTGTGTGTGTGTGTGGCTAGCTCAGCCCACCCCAGGGGCGGGGCTGGCTGGCATGTGGTGCTGGGAGATTGAACCGCGGTCCCTGTGCTTTGCTAAGCTTGTTCTAAGTAGGTGCTTTAGACCACTGAGCCATCTCACCAGCGCGAGAGTTGTATTTAAAGAATTCTCGAGGATGTCTCTTGTGTCTCTCAACAGTGGGATAGTTCATTTGTGACCAAATTAGGGGCGCGGGAAAACTAAGAAGGGAATTTTGTCGCTCATTTTTCCATCTTTCCCTCCTGCCCCACTTTCCTTCCTTTTTCAGTACTAGCGATTTAAGGATTGCCAAAGAAAAAAAAGGAGATAGCTCAGTAGAATAAGTGCTTCCCTGGCAAGCGCAAGGGCCTGAGTTCAATCCCTAGTTCTGCCAAAAAACAAAAACAAAAAAAAACCAAAAAACCTCCATCTTTAGTTATTAAAAAAAATAAAAGCTGGTTTTGCCTTTTTTTTTTTTTTAGCGCAATGATTAGACACGCTACATTCGTTATCTATCCTTATGTCTCAGTTCTGTTGTCAGAGGATAAGAGTAGGGGCAGGGGAGATGGTTCAGTAGAATGAGCGATTCCCTGGCAATTGCTAGGGCCTGAGTTCAATCCCGGGTTCCGCAAAAAAAAAAAAAAAAAAAAAGAATAATGAATGTTGACTGGAAGTGTAGCTCAGTGGTTAGACAGTTATCTTTTACGAAGCTAGGTTCAGTCCTTGGTACTGAAGAGTTAAAGACAAGAAAAGATCTACTGCAGTATTTTCTTTTGGATATGATACAGAAGATTGAAACCAGGGCAAATGCCCTGAGCTGCATTAGCAGCTCTTTGGGGCAATATAGGTATTTTTTCATAGAATATAATTTATGTTAGCTAGGGCTGGAGACACACACCTGTAACTCTTGAGATGCTGAGGCATTAGGTTTGCAGGTTCAAGCCCAGCCCGGGTAATTTAACAACACCCTGTCTCAAAATTTAATAAAGAGAACTGGGTTTGGTGGCGCATGCCTGTAATCCTAGCACTCCAGAGTTTGAGGCAGAAGGATTTCCAGGAGTTGAAGGCCACCCTGTACTACAAGGTGAGTGTAAGGCCAGCCTGAACTTCATAGTGAGACCCTGTCTCAAAAAGACCAGAAAAAAAGAGTATCAAAATAAAAGAGAAAAATTAAAAATTGAAAACAAAACAAACCTGTAGCCTGAGCAAGGTGGCTGTAATCCCAGCACTCCAGAGGCTGAGGCAAGAGGATTACCATGAGTTCTAGGCCAGCCTGGGCTACATAACCAAGTTCAAGGCCAGTCTGAACTACATAGTGGGACCCTATCTCAAAAAAAAAGAAAAAAAAA